ACCAACGGAGGCCGAGGTGGGAACGACATTTTAATAGAAAATAACTGAATAATACAGGTTCATTCACAGTCTTATTGATACAACACCATCGATGAAGAATAAATTATGTCACTATCGTAAGTAAACACCGTTACCAAAAACAACTACACAAGTCATTTAGCTAAAGTATATATTGATATTTACAATAAAATATAAAAAAAGCCAAACTAGTATTTAAGTAATTCTAAGTTAGGAATACACGTCTCATTTAGAGATTTCCATGAAAATCTGCCATATTGTTTCTTTACAGTTTCTTTTTTAAATTCTCTTTGGTTTCTTTATATGACGTTCATCTAATAAGGGCTGCCAGTATACTACATAAGGAGCTTACTCATTTATTCTGAAATAAGTATAAAATCCAATCTTTGTACTATTTAACAAAACAATGAAATAAGAACTTATAACAGATATGATTTGATTTGATACTCCATAACATACCTTATATAAAAAAGGATTAATTTAAAAAAATGATTAATATATAAATTCGTGATTATTACATACACGCTGAACGTAATGCACAAATGATTTGAAACAATTTTTACAAACTTTTGCTTCTTAATGAGGAAGTATTTAAAGAAATAGAGAAAGTGTAAAAATTTGTCACTAGATGGCAGCACAAATTGAAGGACCAAATGTCAATTCACGACGTTCCAATAAAGAGAATAAAATGAGAAAGTATAAAAAAAATAAAAGAAAGTACTAAAAAGCACCTCACTAAATGGCGACTTGTAAAAGTTGATTATTGCAGGAAACGAATGGAATGGACCGAAGATAGTAATCATATCGGTTCCCTTTAACTATCATATTAAAAAAATGAAATTTCAAAGTTTGAAACTTAAATATCAATACAAATACAAAAAAGTACAAATAGAATGCGAATTGTTTATTGAGTTTTAAAAGTAAATTAATTTTAGAATTTTTGGTCAACTTGTTTCCTGCAAAAATCTACTTTTGCTAGAGTCGCCATCAGTGGTGCTTTTTCTTTTTTTTTAGCCTTTTAATTTATTAGATACTTACCCACAACACTAACTACCACCAAACTGGTATTCAAGCGCCGATTTCACTAGGTACCCAATCTATCGGGCACGATTTATTGGCCTCGATTTAGGGCGGTTGGCGTCCTTGTGATTACACTACACTAGATCGCCTCCCTAACTCAGTTGGCATGCAAACGTGGCATTGAAAGGATGGCTCCTGCGCTCATAAAGTACCAAAAAGTTGGCATAGCCCATACTTTAACTGCGGGCGTAAATAATAAAAGAAAATGTTGAGTGAAAAATATTTGCTTCTAAGAGACAAACTATGCAGTTTGTAGTAGACAGAATGAGTTCTGCACAATTTGATCATATATTAAACTTAGTCATACCTTATATAGCGCAAAACAGCGGTAAGCTGTGCTGTACCTTAAAATTATTAGCAACGGGAAATGCATATCATGATTTAAAATATAAATACTCAATGCTCAATAAGTTTATTGTTTCCATAGGTAATTTAAAATAATGTTACATAATTAAGTAAGTCTTACTATGGACCCTGTCGGGCACAACAAAAATATAAAGGAGACGCATTAGTTTTTATTATTATAATTTATAAAAAAATAATAATACATAATTATAAATTTGCAATTTCGCTAAAATCATTTATATCAGAACCCCTGCTATCAAAAATTGTACCAGACACATGCAGGGCTATATTTATATATACAGGAATAATTTAAAACCACTGCGAAGATTTTGTGAAAATAAACTTTAAGTAATTTAAATAAACACGTATTTTTTATTTTGATATGTTCTAATACTAAAAAATAAAGTTATCGCTTATCAAAGATCGATATTTTAAAACTTCATTTATGGACACCGCGCGCCGTGCGTCAGCTGAGCGCTCGCTCGACGCCGCCGTAGGCATGTACTCGTAGGTACCTATCTACACGGGTCACTGAACGCTCATTTTGTTAGATTCGAACAAGATTTTATGCCATGATCTGAGGTGTTTTCTAAGAGTAATTCCAATTTTCCCTTCATACTTTTATGGTTAAGGCCATCAAAATGCAAAAAAATAAAAGAGAAACAAATTCATTACCTTGAAAAAAATATTAACGTTATGCCGAAGTTACAGATGACGCCAAACAACTTGAACAAAAAGTGTGGTGGTGGGGGAAAGTTTGCGCATGTACACTTACGAGCAAAAAAACCTATGCATTAGAATTTCTTATTCCTACGTTAACTATTTATTTCTGTATTTTTTCTGTCCTATTTGCATGAGTGACTGAGTGGTAAACGTGCACACGAATGATACACGTGAAGTAAGTAGCTGCGTGTATAGTAGTAGTGAGAAATTATGAGACTTCGTAGCAGTACTACAAGACCGTTATGAACCCTCTAGTCTAGTGCAACCACTGTAAACTATTATAACTTTTTAAAACTGTGTTTGATTGTCGACGAGACATATTTTGAGGTCGTGATGTTATTGCCTGCAAGTGTACTGAAGTAGCGATGAGACGTGAACACAAAGCGGGAAGCGATGGTTGACTGATCCACCAATAGCGTGGATTGGCGCGGTCGATGCGATCCTACTTCCGCACGCCGCGCCCCGCACCGCATACCGCGACGCCTAAAATCGGTTTCTGCGCATGCAAGGTCATTTGTTCAAGTTGTTTGGCGTCATCTGTACATAGGTACTTCTGCGTTAAGGCGTATTTAAAAAAATTAGAATCAACTACGTATTTACAATAATGTTGAATCAAAACAAATACCTAACTAATTACTTACCATGTATTTTAATATTTGTTCAAAATGAAGTCCACGTCTGTCCAGACATAAACGTGCACATTTCATTAAATTGTCATTTAATTTGTTTAAAACACTAATGTCCCTTTTCACTTCACTGAAAGCGTTATTATTTTTTATTGTTGTCTTCTAGACTTTGTGCCTCCTCTACATCTCGGCGTTTGACTTCTTCCCATAAGAAACAGTCCCTCACTTGTGAACAATGCCTCATCCGTCTACAAGATGTTTACATCGCGGTGATGTAGAAGCCACTCACATAAGGCTCGACGTGGTATTGGGTCTAGGTCATGGAACTGCTGAACCGGCTGAAAGTGGTACGGATGGAGTCCGGCTGTTTTTAGCAGCTTCAATACCGCAGGCTGGCTCACACCAAAGAGATATGCCGCATCGTGGGTACTGACTCTGGGACTTCGTCTGTTAAAATGGTTCGAAGCATTAGGGACCGCGGGGTTATGGATCCCAAAGGCCCGCATACGAGGTATGCTCTTCGTCGCATACTTTCTCCGAATTGCGCTTATGTAGGTTCTCACCACTCAAAAGATAAACTCGTACATCTCGTAAAACTCACGACGGCGGGCGCGTCGCGTGCGCGGGAACGCGAGGACACGTCACATCGGCGCGTGCGTATGAGTCTCACTGTCGCGCGCGTCGCTCGGTCCCGGCGGGGCGGTGGGGGCTGTGGCGGGGGGCTACCGGGCGCGGCGGGGTTGCACGGTGGCATACGCAAGAAAAGACGTTTTCATCGAAGTTTTATTTTAAAAAATGTGTCCATATTCTACCGTTTCGATAGGGATAAAAATATTAAAAAAAAATTGTTTAAATAATTATGGAAAAGTGTTCTATTACTGATACTGAACCACCAAAAAAAATTTTTGCACTGGATAAAAAATATTCCTGTATATATATATATATATATATATAAATTACATTTACATTTAATATTATTTCTTTTTCCTTTTGAGAAGACATTTTTCTCTGTTCGCAAATTTCGTTGTCGCACGCTGCGCAACAACCGACTGAGCGCTCTAACACCCTAACAGCGATCACATTACCCGATGAGGTACCGAATGAGGGCTACGGTTTCTTCGCTCACCAGATGGCGCGGTAGTCGCGAGAGGTCCTGTCAAAGTATGTTCACTACGAGATTAAACTTAAATCATACATCATAACACATAAATAAAACATTTAATTAAAAATATCGAATATGCTGAATAAACACGAACTAACCTCTGATTAAGCTCTTCTTTGCGCTTAATTTTGCATTACTTTTCTTAGTTATGGCTTTAAACCACTGAACATTCATTGACCGGTAATTCATAATTGCTTTTATGAATCTCAGGTAAACCAAAATAAGCGTCAAAATTCGTTTAAATGAAAATAAACGTGCGTAGTTTACAGACAATATTTATGATATTTGACATTTTGAAGACCTCACGCTACACTAGCGCCTCTAGTGGCAAATTCAAACGCGTTAGCCCTCATTGAGATTGGCGTTAGAGTCACTCGGTCATGGAGGTAGTGATAAAGTAAACAACAGAAATAGGTATAAAAGTCAGTTTATCAAAACTATACATGTTTTATTTACTTATTTAGCAGTCTTATCTCACTATACCCAGTTGCACAAAAACACACTAAAAATGTTAAGCAATATAACAAATACACTTTTAAAATTAAAATTCACACAAATAGAGCTTAAGCTATGTATGCACTGGTGAGTTTTAGTCACTGTTTCTTGAATTCTGTCACCATAGTCACCTGTTGTTTGTAAGTTACCTAATCGTCACTTGTTCATGTGTGCACACCAGAATAGGTAATTTAAAATTCTTTGGTTGAAAGTTGTCAGAATTGTAGTTTCCGTAAAGTAGCCGTTAACATTAAAAAGAAGATGGCAATGATTCTCAAGCATGGTGGCAGGAGATAAAAAATCACCAGTGAGCATGTCTTTACGTTGACATTAAACCTTTAGGCCAATTCTGCTAACGTTTACGTAATAATAGCGTGTCAATAGGATGTCAACTACTCGCATTTTGCCCTTGCACTATCTACCTGAACTCCAATATTATTATATATCTGACTCAATCGATGTGTGAGGAAGATATTGAACTAATAACATTGAACTTTATGTAGACAGTACAATGGTAAAATGCAAGTCTTTGAGATTCTATCGAGATGCGATTATAACGTAAAGATTAGCAGAATTGGCCTGCTTAAAGGTGATTTGTGTGATAGTTTTATACATATTTATATGGTAAGAATTACTCAGTATCCATAGGTAAAGTGACATTTAGCTTTGGTAATGTATGCAATACTGCTGAAAGTTGATTTTCTAGAGGGCCAGCTTTTTGTACTATATTTTTCAGATTTCTTTCTATTTGTAATACATCTTGTTTGATTGATTCCATATTCTGTAAACAATAACAATTAATTTGTAAATACAATGATTAAAGACCCATTTTTTGGGTTCCATACCCAAAGGGTAAAATGGGAACCCCATTACTAAGACCTTGCTGTTTGTCTGTCTATTTGTCACCAGGCTGAATCTGATGAACCATGAAAGTTAGATAGTTAAAATTTTCACAGATGTATTTCTGTTGCCGCTTCAACAACAAATACTAAAAACCAGAATAACATAAATATTTAAGGGGAGTCCTCTCCAACTCTCAATTAGCCGGTTTATATAATAGGAAATAATAATTAGTTCATAACACTTAATAAATTGTCGGTCTGTTAATTGTTTGTCAACAGCTCAAGCATTTAAAAGGACCTGAGTATATATTTTTGCAAAATCTCAATAGGAATTGTCAAATATTGTAATTTGTATTGCACTGTCAATATTGTGCTACTAACATTTATTTATTAATTTCTTACATTTATTGCACACCAAGGATTTGAAAATTTTTTTTGATGTATAATTAAGTCTTAATTGATCAAAATGTTAAACAGTTTTATTTTATTCAAATATAAATCTTGGGCTCTTGTTCTTTACCTGAATCACCGAAGAGCATAAATACTTAAGATTTGCATTTTCGTAATTAATAAAAGCACTGCAGTGTGACGCAGCCTCAGATGGAGCTTTAGAAGACATCTCTATTATTTTATTAGCAAAATTTAGAAAAATCTCATGCCAGTTTAAAACCGTTATCACAGACTTAGTAGCAAAGAGTAGTAATAATAATCCGTAACCGTATCGTAATAGGTGACCGTTATCGTTGTCCACAGACTATAAACAGTATAAAGTATCGCAGTAGGACTGAGACGTATTTATTGAAATACGTTTTTGCTTGAACAACTTACTGAGTATCGAATAAGCAATCAACGCGCTTATCGAGTATATCGAAGTATCGACTTACTCGTTACTTACACAAATCCGACACTCGGAGACGCGGTGGACGCAGACTCAGGCATCTAACGCGTTTCGAGTACCTACTTAGAAGTCTCGTACTCACACAAACTTGGAGACGCCGAAACGCGAAGACGCGGACAAGACTCGATAAGTCCAACGCGTTTCGAGTATTTTGAAGTCTTGTACTCACACAAACTTCTTAGTCTGTTAATAATATGTTCACCGCATAAGTGTAACTTTTCGTAGATGAAAGAATTTCTAAAATCGGTCCAATAAGCCTATTCATTGCAAACAAAGAAACAATTAAATTTTTCTCCTAAATAATATTAGTATAGATAGGTATTTGTTCAAAATTACTAAGAGAAATCACACGCGAGTAACACTCGCGTATGACTCCAATGAGGTAGTTAATGATTAAGTATTTTCTCGACCTCAGTTGTTGTTCTCAACACACAATATCAGCTGTATCCGATTCCTAACGCTTATAGTACAACCGATGCATTATCATCGCTATAGGCGAAAGCGAAACTTCTGCGTAAAGGCGAAAACGCTCGATTTCGCATTGCGATGCGAAATACCTTTTGCCAAAAATCTGTGCCTGTTTAACGACGCAGTTATTTCATCGAGCCATGCTATACGCTGCCATGGAGCTGATGGTTTTTTTCTGTTTTGCTTTCTCATGCAAATGCATGTACGTGTACTAAAGGCCTAAATGACGCTTCTTCGATTCTGTTTTTGGCAGACACCAGATAATTTCCAAGAATACAGTGAATGCTGTGTTGAGAACTAGGCGTCTAATTAATGACGCAATAAGAAGCTAAGAGAACTGTTTCCAAAAACTTTTTAACTTTATTTTAAAGTTGCAACGCCTTTAGAAGGTTAGAAGGGAAACATTATCAGAAAATAGATATCGTTAAAAACCATAACAGTTTTTTTTCTTCACCGTCGTCGTGTAAAACGTAAGGTATTTTTAATAAAACAATTTTAATATTAAATATAATTTATTCTTATTGTTATTGACACGCATGAAGGCTTAATATATCACAGCGTTGTGCTTGAATAGTTTATTCACAATAAGGGGTTCATATTAAAAAAAATATAAACATTATTTCTCATATAATGCTTTTACTTTAATCACACAAATGAACAAAAACAGATATGTATAATATTGGCTAAACTGCAGTTGGCATTCCTAATCCACTCCTGACCAGCCCCGGTTCTACATTTTTTTTAAACTAAGTATATTATTTGATAGTGGCGCCTCCTCTCAACTTTTGAGGAAAATTGTTAAAAAATTAAGGGTTCTTGTTGTAATTCCATTTTACGATTTTAGTAACTTCCTGACATAACCAGGTGCCCTCCCTTAGATCAGAGGTTACTTCTGACCTAACTTAAATAGTACCAGAGCCAAAATAATAATATTACTGCTTGAGGCGAGATTTTACGCAATTACCACTTTTTAAACCAATTTTATTCCAAGGCTATGCTCAATATTTGAAAATTAAATATTATTTAATGAAAACTAAACATATAGTTGCAAAAAACGGAAAAAAGAAAATTCAATAATTGACTCGAGAGAAAAAAAAATCGCATAGATTTATTAACAGTCAAATAGGTTTTTGAATCTGTCTAATATATTTCAACTTGATATTAAAAATCGGTTTTGATATAAAAATTACCAAAAGATTTGTTTTCAACTACATTTATTTTTTTCCCGTGTTAAAATAAAAAATGTTTGATATCAAGCTAGCGCGTCTTTACTCTCGATGCGTATTTGTATGGGAACGTAAGCGGAGGTACAAGAGAGCCTTAAGTTATTTCATTATGTCAAAGTATATTATGTACTAAAAATATATGCGATTCAAGTGACATAGGCATAAAGAACGTCGATAAAAAAATACGTACAATTTATCTGAACGCCTAAACGTACCTATTTCTGAACTTTTATATAATAATACATATAAATATATATAAAACATCTAGTAAATTGAAGGTTAAAAATAACAAGTACAAAATATATGTATAGTCAATTTAATGTTACATATTTAAAAACGTTAGTACATACACATCACGTCAGCGGGCAGTTACGAATTAATATCCACCTTATTGCTACAAAAAAAGCGTATTACAGATCTAAACGTGAACATGATGTGAAGTACACTATAATAAATACTATGTACAAAAATAAAAAATCTATTGCACAACTTAATGAACTACGCAGCAATAAAAAAATAATTTTTTAACTATAATTTTTCTAGTATAATATTTATTACAAGATTATATACAATCGTTCTAGGTTGTCGATGACATGAACATGAGAAGGGTCTATTACACGTGCAGATTACAATTTTTATTTGTGATAAAAAGTGTCTTTACACGTTTTATCATCGGAATCGGGAGAAGATTATTTCAGGTAGTTCGTAATCGTTCATAACATGGCGGCAATACCCGCGGGCCAATTGTGTAATTTCAAAATCAATCGGAATCCCTTTCGATTGCGATTTATGAGCGTTTCAACATTTAAAGTAGCCTTCGCTTTTGGTACAAATGATGATTTTTAATGAACATAATAAAAACTTACCTAAACCCGTCGAAACATGCCCGTTAGCTTAGAACTCTTTCAAAGATTTTCGTCTAACACTTGCCTTGAAATCTTTCAAAAAATATTGCGATCGCAATCAATCACGTGTCAGATAGTGAACTTCGTGAATATCTTTTAAATGTCAAATTGAATCAAATTAAGGCTCTGAGGTGCGATCGTAACTCTCAAGTCATAGGAAAAGACGAATTATCTCTGTTCGGCTACTGGTGGGCTAATTATGTAATTTTAAAATCTACGACAATAACTTTGAATTGGAAAGATATTTACAACTTCACGCTACAACTATTTCACATAACAGCAATTGCGATCGCGAGTTTTTGGAAACATATTGAATGAATTATCTAAGCAAAGTGATAGTTACAAGTATCTTCGAAAGCTATTGGGAAATCTGATACAAAATGAGTCTTCTATGACATTTATATCATTCAAATCATCATACGTTCCAAAATTGTGACTTTAGAAGTTACACAATTCCATATCACAACAGCTATAAGTTTGTAATATCGTAATTGATTTTAAAATTAGACAATCAGGTAATGGGCTACAGTACCACCACCGCGTGTCACGGCGGAAGATCACCGTCAAGGAGGCAGCCACGTGTCGCTAGTCGTGCTTCTCATGTGTGTGCGTTGTAGCAGTGGCGGTGGTGTTGTCGATGTGTGCGTGCGCGCGCCGCTTGAGCGCGGCGGCGGCCACGTACCCGAGCAGCGAGCCCGCGAGCGCGGCCGCCGCCCCCACCTTGGCCCCCGCCACCGCCCCCACCGGGCCCCCCACCAGCGCGCCCAACGCCATCCCGCCCACCCCGTACATGCCCACGCGCAATCTGACAACGTGACACTTTACTGTACTGCGCGTACGCATTTACATTACACCCGAACGTCTATTATATTACTCCGTAAACGAAATTTCGTCTGTCTTAGCAATTGCAAGAATTACATTTTTCGATAAATATATGATGCAATGGATGTATGACCTGCAGAGCGAATACCTAACTCTCTAGCCTTAGTAATAGCCATAATAAAAACATTTAATAAAGACAAACGAATCATAACATCATGACAACGATAAGATTTCGTGCCAATGACTAGGATCAAGGCCCGACCCTGCCTCTTATGCATGGAAATTTTTACTGATATAATTTTAACAAAATTATGTCAACGATTCTAAATTATCGTTCTAGGCTAAATAAAATAGACCCTCGAGTGTCATGTTAATAGGTAATTACGAATTAAATATATATCCGAGAAAACCGACAATAAAAAGCTAGTAATACACAGAAAACCATGTACACATAAAATAAGTTTCGATTGCTATTATACAATAAAAGAAGTGCTGTTTTCAAAGTGACTTATATATTTATCAATTTACCCTATAAATTGGTAATTTAATTCTGAACAATTGTGAATTTCAGGGATAATGTTATGATTATATTGTATCAAAAAATATATATATAAATTCACGCTTAATCACAGTATAAGCGTGAATTTATATATTTTTTTTTTTGATATATTTTCTTTGACCCTTAGAAGAAATATCATGTAGTTATCTCATTTTTAATGACAGTTTATTTGGACGTTATTTTATTGTACAAATATAGTTCAAAGTGAAGACTAAAATACGAAGTCTTCATATTAGAAGAACACTGATATTCTACGATTTACCAAATGGATACGCGCATATTTAGTCTAAAGGATAATGTTGGAACTAAATGATCATTCCGATTTACATTATCATCAATGACCAATATTAATTAAAACTGCTTCCAAGTACCATTTTAGATTTCTCTAACACTGCTCAAAAACTATAAAATTATTTATTTCATCTAACACAGATATCTACAGGATTTCTACAAAATAGGTCAATAAAGAGATCAGTAACATACTTTTCAGCTAGTGCGAGGTTCTTCCTGCCTTCGTCCACGTTGACTGCAGCCGTCTCCACACTGGCCGCGGTCTCAGACACCTATCAGTAAATAACCAAGTATTTTCAGACGTTACATTATTTAAATCGTATAATGTAACGTTTACCTACCTACACTTTTACAGATTTAAATTCATTTAGCATTTATATAAAATCTAATAAAATTTTACTTTCTATCATAGAAATAGCTCTTTGTATTATTCAAAAACTATAATCCAATTGAGTCCTTGAACAGATATTTGGAACTCAACGGAAATAATATTCAAATGAGAAAAAAGATTTTGATTAGTTAGGAAGTAGAGGTAGGAACTAAGTTTATTTGCAATATAACGCGAACACGTAATAGGCCATAAAGTCAAAGTCAAAATAATCTTTATTCAAATAGACTTCTTAAAAGTACTTATGAATCGTCCAACATTTTTTTCCTTACCACTCGTTCAGGGCGTCTTTTGGCTGATAAGAAGAACGAGCAAGAAACTCACCAGCTCTAATAGGAGTAATGGCATTTACAAAAACCATGTCATAACCAGATCAATACATTATAAATAAAGAGAATAAAAAACTATGGTCTTATAACATATAACATACAACGTCGAGTCTGTGTAGAATAAAGACCCTGGGCAGGCAATCTCGACATGGTAGCGATCACGGAGTTCACTGACCAAGCTTAAGAGTCAAACTCGATCGTTAGGAAACTAACATTGCTAACTGTAGATACTTGCAATACGAACGCTATGAGTTAGCAACCAAATTCGATAAGAATGCCATCGCAAACTCTGTCGAGACTGCTGCCCCTGAAAAGACACGGCTATAGGTAGCTAAACCAAATGGGAACCAAGATAATGCAGTATACTCACGTGCGTGGCCTGTTCACTGGCGCAGGCGTGCACATGTTGCCACACGTCGTGCAGCGCGCGCACCTCCTGCTGCAGCTCGCTCCACCCCTTTAGCACCGCCTCACGCTCGCGTATACTTAACTCCTGTGTTTAACACGCACCTCGTCTATCACTATCACGACACGGAAGACCTCACACACCATAGAACATACCATAAAATACGTGAAACAACACTGCTCGGTCGCGGAACAGAGAGAATTTCGTACAATGACCCGTCATTACATCTCTGACTCGTGCGCAAGTATATTGTTATTGCGCTAGCACAGGGGCTCTATTTTTTAATCATGCGCCTCGTGTCAAGCGCTCGTTTTCTACTGATTTGTATGGTGTGGTATGAACCACTCGTCGTTTAGCGACCGCTGTATGCGAGTGATAGTAGTAATGAAATTAATAAATGACGTTGTAGGCCTTTTTGTTTACATTCACATACAATTTATTTGTATATATATATATATATGGTGAAAAACTGTTTAATGAATAAAAATAAAAATTTACTCGAATGTGTCTCTTCTAATTAAGCCTGTTTCCATTTTATAATCGGGCTCCATAAGAATAAAATCAAGCAAGTGTCAAAAACGATTTTCGTTCTATGTGCGTACCATGAATCTCCAAATGTATCGCTTTTTGTCACTATCAACTTTCATTAAACTGACTGTATATAATGATAGAAGCAATTACTTGAGTATATGCGATCACTAAGCAAATAAAAAATGAATTTTTATGAAGTTAAGAACTGTCAAAGGTTAGAATACAATTATTAATAAGTAGATGATTCAAAAGGAATGATTTTAATGTATAATATAAATACACTTTTATTTCGAATCACTCTGTATATTGATAAGCCATATTAAAATCTGTTGTGTAGTTTAAAATACCTAAGCGTACAGACAGCGGGAAGTAACTTTATTTTATAATGTATAGATAGATACTCAGTATTTACAGTTGATATAAAACTGTTGATTTGTTTAAAATATTTTTATAAAAAAAATATATAAATTGAGTATAAATACTACTTATAATTATACGATTACATATACGTATAATACGATTACAAATAATTAAAATGTATACAAATAGTGTGAGTTTAAAAATAAATACTACTTATACTCGACTTTAGATACGAGTTTTACTTCCCATTGCAAAACCTTACCATCACCATTGCAAATTTTCTCACATAGAACATTCTTTAATTAGAGCTTATAACCTAAATATACGTATATGCAACTGACCGTTGAAGTGAAATAAATTATGCACCACTCACATGATCGTCTACTTGTAGTTGTGCGAGTCCGTCGAGTACAGAGGGATCAGCGTGCGCGACCACGCCCACAGAGTCTGTGGACACGGCACTGCCTGACACGCGCTGCCCCTCCTGCTCCGCCCAATGACGGTTTATAGCCAGCGGAGACGTTTCTGAGTGTCCAAATCAAAATCATTTATTCAGTCTAGGCTGTAATAAGCACTTGTGAAAATCGAGAGCTACGCCATCGGTTCGTTAATCTACGGGAGACCTTGTACCGAGAAGAACCGGCACGAAACGTGGCAAGGGCTGCTTTTTTTCTCCCTATTTTATTTCATACAGAGCGTCAAGATTGAAAAATTACTTCATTAAAATATGAAGTCGCTTTCCGTTACAATATTAGTAAATATAAAAAGTAAAACAGTATTTTCGTCAATAGAGGCACATGTCTAGTTAAACAAGCTCACCAATGAATCATTCAATATACATAAAAATCATATTTAATACCAAGGAGTTTTGTCGTTTAAATATTCATTAATAGTATAATGTTTCGAGTATACGAGGGTCAAACTGAAAGTTCTTAGAACTGGCCACTTATAAACAATATAATAAAAAAATAATTCTAAAATTTGAAAATATAACTCTTTGCCAATATTACTGAGTATATATTTCATTCATTTGTCATTTGTTTTACGATTTGGCGGCAAATTGAAAATTGTCTGTGTCACGTCATCATGAATTTAACACGAGAAAATTTTCGTGCAATGATTTTTTATGACTTTCGATGTCATTTAAGTCAACAAGAAAGTTATGATAGACTACGATTGGCCTTTCACGATGAAGCCCCATCTCGTGCGACTGTTTACAACTGGTTTAATGAGTTTAAACGTGGTCGCACTAATCTCACTGATGATTTACGTGAGGGACGGCCTTCTACGGCGACGACTGAAGATAACATCTGTGTTGTGCGGCGTATGATAGAGACTGACAAAAGAGTGACCTATCAACAGATTCGGACAAGCTTAGGCATCGGTATGAGTCAAGTGCACAAAATCCTCCACGAACATTTAGCGGTCAGGAAGCTTTGCGCCCGGTGGATACCTCATAATTTGACTGAGGCTCAAAAACTCCATCGTGTGGATTGGTGTCGTAAAATGATTGAAAGATTTAACGGAGGTGACTCAAATGCTGTGTTCGACATACTAACAGGTGACGAAAGCTGGATTTACTGTTATGATCCTAAAACCAAAAGACAATCTGCTCAGTGGGTGTTTCCTTTCGAGGAGTTGCCAACTAAAGTGAAGAGAGATCGAAGTGCGGGAAAAAAAATGGTGGCCTCGTTCTTTGGAAGGATAGGTCATTTTGCAACAATTGTGTTAGAGGATCAAAAAACAGTTTCTGCAGAATGGTACACTACCAATTGTTTGCCACTTGTCTTGGAAAAAGTTCGAGAGAAACGACCTCGCAGTAGGATCCTCCTTCACCACGACAACGCCTCGTCGCACACCGCCAAGCGAACGATCGACTATTTGGCGACATCAAACGTTGAATTACTGGGTCACCCGCCGTATAGCCCCGACCTCGCGCCTTGTGATTTATATTTATTTCCAAAAATTAAAGAAAAACTTAAAGGAAAGCGGTTTATGAATGCTGAAGAAGCGGTGGCTGCGTATCGCGATGCCATTGAAGAGACCCCTAAGGACGAGTGGGCAAAGTGCTTTTCCCAGTGGTTCCATCGCATGCAGCGGTGTATTGACGTGAATGGACAATATTTTGAAAAGATATAATAAAACTAATAACTGGCTAATGTAATCAGTTTTTGATTTTCTAAGAACTTTCAGTTTGACCCTCGTAGACACCAGTCTCCCACAAATTAACGAGCAAAATAAACTACAAAAAATGTATATACCCATAGTGTAGTATGTGAATTTGTGAGGAGAAATAAAGGTATTTATTTCTAATATCCTTCCATCACGAATTGTTATAAGTATGCATATGTAAGCAAGAGGAGCTCAATGGCGTAGTGGCTAGTCGGCGATACGGTTTTTAAGTAACTGTCACAATGGCCGATCATAGGATGGGTAACCAAAAATTTACTATCTTGATCTCCACTGTGCTTCGGAAGGCACGTTAAGTCATGGCCCATTCTACCTAGTTGATTCGGTTCAAATTGATTCCATCAATTGGAAAGGCCTGGGACCCAACAATGTGGACATCAATAAAATCGTGTACCCTGCTTCTGTTACAGCAGGCTAAAAATTGTTTGTTTACCAAATACATCTTCTATTTTATTCATAAACGTAAAAAAACAGAATATAATTATTACAAAGCATAGATCTAGATTGAGGTCAAGAGTGAGCCCATTGTTAATAATAAAAAAAAAAGATAACTAATGATTTATCTTGCAAGATTTATTAACATGTATTACTAGCATAGTTAAAATGGAATAGCATTAAAACATATTAATTTTAATTTAAGCTGAATTATGAAAAAAAGTAGTCTAGTGGGTGACCTTTACTACTAATAAGAAGTAGTAAAGGTAACTTAACTGGGAAGTGTGTTATTTAGTGTGATTTAGTAAAATTTTGTTAGTTATGAGCTTAATTAGAATTAATTTTTAATTTGTTACTTTTGACTTATTAGTTTATTTACACATACTCAATCACTTAAAATTTCTTAAAACCAGCCATAAAATGAAATTTCATATTTTTAAAGGCTTGATTGATGAAACAATGAAAAGGAAACATCTAGAAACTAGATGTTTGCATGGTTAAAATAGGTAAGTAACTGTTATTTTTTTTTGTTTGTAATTTGGGCCTCATAAAATAAAGGCTGCCTTGTGTATGATGCAACTTTCCATACGTGAAAGAATTTAATATAAACAGACAAATCTATTCTTTATAATATTAATATATAAAATAATAAATATCTGTGCAACGGTCCATAGAAATATAGCAGTATTTCAGGTTATCATAAACAGTGGCGTAGCTACTAAGGGGCTAGGCGGGGCAGTGCCCCGGGGCCCTCAAGCTCAGGGGGCCCTCGAATCTTTACCAGAAAATCTCAATCGAACTCAACTTTTGAAAATTTCTCCCTTCTTCAAAATAAAAATGACAGGTGACAAGTCGAGTTTAATCATGGAAACCAACTTTATCTTCATGATGGAAACTCAGTTGTGAGTAATTCCAAAGTTATAATTAGGTACCCTCCTTTGCGTCGCGCAGTCGAGTAAAAAGGGAATTCCCGTAAATTATTTGTGTGGGTTGACAGTGTTATTAATGTTTTCATCAATTTGTTGGAAATCAATACCTGCATAATATTATTTTTTATCGATATGCGTTTTTGTGATTCGCGATTGTGAACTTCGAGTCAATATTTTTTTTCGAGAATGGTTAAAAAGTTATTGTATCAGGAGTAAGTAATCGTATGTCAATAATTTTTTTGTACTGGTCCATACAAAAGTTCAATTTTATTTGATTGTAGTCCGTCAAACCGTCAAATTTAGTAGCACTGACGGCGATAAAGTGTTTGCCGGGGATTCCCCAACGACGCCTTGTATCGTATCATTTTCATTCATTCACGTTTCGCTTTCCTTTTACTTGTAACGTTGTCAGTGAACAGTGAGTACCTACTTGAGTACAATCTTACAACAATATTGCATAAATAAATTAGAAAACTAATATTATGGACAAAAAAAAAGAAACCCAGTGGTGCAACGCAAACACCGCCAAGAAAGAGGAGAAAGTAAACAAAAATTGCCCAAAATTGACAAGTTTTTTAGTCAGCCTTCTGCAAGTACTTCTGGATCAAATATTTCTATTGATGATTTTTGTAAATAGCTTGCATGGCGATAGGTTAAATAACAGTAAACTGTGCACCAGTTTACTGTTATTTAACCTATCGCCGTATCTATGATTAAATAAATATATAATAAACCCTTGAATCTTTTTTATTTCGTTTTATTGCCCAATACCTACACCAAGTATAAAAATAATTGTAATTTATGTTGTTAGTGTTTAATTGTTTTATTACCTGCCTATGCACGAAAAAGAGAGAATTTATATGTATATTTAATGATTTTACTTCAAAAAACCTTACCAGTTTTGATAGCAGTGGGCCCCATTTTTTTATTTGCCCCAGGGCCCTAGATTACCTAGCTACGCCACTGATCATAAAATGTCTAATTGCTACAGTGGATTCTTAACTCTTTTGTGAATGCATTAAGCCTTAAAATTCATTTGAGGAATTTGATAGTTTATAAAAATCCAACCTGTTGATGAGTACACAGAACTGCTTCAATAATAAATTTTATATATATAACTGTTACATAGTTTCGGTTATATATTTATGTTTTTCGTAATCTGAATTTCATTTCATCCTTAAAATCATAGTTATTGCTTGAATCATATGTGGATGATATATGGAATGGTAATATATTTCAAACATCTATTACAATAAGTGAAAATATGTAGAAAGAAACATTAAAAAATATGAATTTAATAAATGTTAACACGAGGTTGATGGCATTCAGTTAAAAGGCTACTTTTAATTTATTAATTCATAAAACTAATTATATCTTTACTGAAAATTCACACCACACAACAGCAGTCTCAGAACTTACCCCTTCTAACATGGGCCTTGCTCTCATCTACAATAGCTTTACAACTGCTTTCAATAATTCCTACAATAATAAGAATTGTTTGGTTATACCTCTCAAGAGACGATTGGGCATTCAATCTCTTCAACTGGACAATATATTTGTCTAAGAACTCTGTCTTTATAAACACCGTATCTCTTGCCAACGCATAGGATGTGAAATTGTAGGTAATATACATTAGCAACTTTGACTATGTGATTTATGCTCTGACTCTCTCCTAAAATCTGAGGCTGGTTGGCAGTAAATAACAGGCAGTAACTGCAGTTGGGTCAACTTTCTGATTTGCGATTTTTTGTGCCAAGTAACCACTTGCAGCTGTGATAGCTGGGGACTGTAAAAACTTCTCTTATATGTTTTGAAATAATTACTTACCCACAACCACAATAAAAGTGAGCAAATTTTCCTACTCAAGTTCTCTTAGATATTAATAAGTATGTTTGTGATGTTACTCAGATTTATTATATGTTAAACAAAAGAAGGTACCTAGATAATCAACTATAGCCCGCAGTGTATCATCTCTGGCACATTGTGTAATGCGATCAAAGCGTTGCAGATCCTCATCTCGCACACGTCTTCTCAGTGACTCCAACTCAGCCATCAGTGTACGCAACTGAGATGAAACACGTCTTGCGTGTGTTTGTTCTGAACGTACACGTGCATAATCTCCATTTTCTGAATACTGAAATATAAATTGGTACAAATGGTATTGATAATTCAGTTACTTATTAAAGTCATTGGGATTCATTTAAGTAATTTTTATTCCATTTTTTTATTGTAACTCTACGATGCAGTTGAATCAACTGATGTATTCTTTTTTTTAAACACCATATAATATAATCATTATAACAGGCAAAACATAAATATTGCTTATTTAAATATCTCATTAAAGTAAGAAAAATACATAATCTTTGTTTTGACATCTCAACAAAAACAAATCTATGAAGAAGAAAATAAACACAACTTGGCAAAATTTAACACTTCCCATTCTAAACAAAATTTATTTATAGACAACTAAACTCGTCATTACACAACATTTACGCGCCATGTAGGTACCACATCTGATGTAACGCAGTTAAAAAATAGGGATTAAGGATATTGTAACAATCTTGAGTGTTTATTAATAGAACAGATTTTATTTTACCTTTAAAATATTAGTTCTATGCTGCCTTAGCAAGTCTAAATGGTGAGGTATAGCTACTTCATTGAATTTGGACAATGAGAGTTCCACTCTTTTTAGTGGTAATTTATCAGTTTCTTCCATGATAGCGACACTCAACTGCACTCAACAGTTTAATCTAAGCTTTTTAAACATAACATTATATTGTTTGTTCAAAGAACATAAACTTCTAAACTTGTTATTTAATAAATTAAATCTTTGAAACGAAACCAAAACAATGAACAAATTGACAACATAGACATTTTTTTTTTTTTTTTTTTTTATTAAGAGCATTGGCTACCAAGGCCATCAGCTTAATCCTTTAGTGCATACATATAATTAGAACTAAACACTACTACAAAATCCTTAGACTAAAAAACCCTTAAAATTATGTTATATAAATATTAAATATTAAATGTAAGAAAGAAGAATCAAATTTGATATAATCATTTACAGAAGACCAAAAGTATTACTATAAAAATGATAAATTATTACATACAAATCAACTATTTTAAGCATGTCCTGCACATTTTTTGGAAAAATTTTGTTTTTTAGATGATCTGTACACAAAGAAACAAAAAGAAGACGCTGCAAGTTAAAATATTTACAATTAAAAAATAAATGCTGAAGGTCACATATTGTCTCTGTACAATATTTACACAATGCACTGTCGCTTAATCCGAGGCGGTGAAGATGGGATGGGAATTTACAATGACCTATTCTTAATCTACAAAATGATGTTATGAAGTTCCTATTCGGGGTAGTCAATTTCTCAAACCAGGCTTTAGTGGTGGGCACAGGGACAATTTCGGCATGCCATTTACCCTTAGTAAGACGTGAATTGGCTAGGGATATAGACCATCGTTTGATCATATTTTCTTTTAGACGAATTATTAAATCACTATATGGCACTTTGTAATCATTTATCAGTGTTATATTCTGTGCAGATCGTGCAAGTTTATCTACGAGCTCGTTCCCAAATATGCCGGAATGTCCCGGTACCCAACAAAATTCAATTAATAAATTACATTGATTCAATAGTTCAACCAGGTTTCTAAGTTCATAAACTAAGTAGTTACATTTCACATCAATACATTTATCCTTTAATGCAAACAGTCCACTCATAGAATCACTAAGTATTATAAATTTGAAAAATGATGATGAACTGAAATTCAATAATATATATTTAACAGCATAAATCATGCCTAAGATTTCAGCAGAAAAAATTGAGAAATTGTGATCACATGAATAAACTTTACCAATTTTATTACAAGAATCGTAAAATGCAAAACTAGTGCGATTATTTGTTTTAGAACCATCAGTATAAATTTTTATGTAATCTTTTTTCTCGCTCAGAAACTCATAAAAGTCTTGTTTTGAATCGAATCTCGTTAACGTAACTTCAACATCACGTAGCATTACTGCAAAGTTGTAAGAGAAACAAGGAGGTTTAAACGACCAATAAATTATATCTTGAAATTCAAAGTTTAAATAGGTGATTGATTCTGTAATGGAAGGCATCGCAGGTATAGGAATATTATTATAATTAGGGATTGCAAAATTTTCAAGGTAACGACTAACTAAAACATTGTCACGACTAATTAAATTCAGACAAAATTTTTCTGATAAATAACTTCTTCTTATATGTAAAGGCGGTACTCCAGATTCGACTTCTAAGGAATTTATAGGAGAAGATATCATAGCCCCTGTAACTATTCTTAGCCCTTTATTTTGAACAATATCTAGTTTTTTCAGAAACTGTTTGGATGCGTGAGCATAAAAAATACTACCATAATCTAATTGACTACGAACTGTAGAAATAAAAAAGCTTTTCAATATTTTTGGATCAGAGCCCCAGTTAACCCCAACCAGAGATTTCAAAATATTTAAACGCAATTCTGCTTTTTTACATGAATATGTAATGTGGGGACCCCAAGATAATTCTGAATCAAGTATGATACCTAAATACTTCTCAGACGTTTTGTAAGGTATAAGAGTATTATTATAATATATACGAGGACTGACAGGGCAACTATAGGCAAAGAGCATAACTGAACTTTTGTTTACGTTTACTTCTAGTTCTAATTGATTATTTAACAAGTTACTAAGATAGGTAAGACAATTGTTCATAATTCGTTCACCCTTACACAGATCTTCACAGTCTAAGTATATAACAACGTCGTCAGCATAGAAAGTATATTTAACTAAATTCGGTATGAGTTTCATAAAATTTACAAGACTTAAAATAAAAAGTAGTGGTGAAATAACTGATCCTTGGGGGGTACCTTTAAAAGACTTACACGGACCGTGTAAATTATCCCTAATTTTTAATGTAACGGAGCGACCATTTAAAAACTGAAAAATCCAAAATAAAACTGGACCAGGAATACCTAATGAACTTAAAGTTTGAATCAAGTACTCGTGTTTAATATTATCGAATGCGCCTTTTATGTCTAGAAAAACGGCGATAGTTATTTTATTTTTTCTAAGATTACTTTGTATGTCGCCTAATAAACAACCTAAATTGTACATCGTGCTCTTTCCCTTGCGAAAACCAAACTGGTAATCAGGTATAAGAGAGTTATGTTCGATAAACCATTCTAATCTATTTTTTAACATTGTCTCAAATAACTTTGCTAAGCACGAAGTCAAAGAGATGGGTCTATACGCATCTGAGCTATTGCCATCCTTATTAGGTTTTAAAATAGGTATTACAATCTGAGTCTTCCAGATAGGAGGTATAATATTATTTTTCCATAGTTGATTGTATATATTTAAAAGAAGACTTTTTGCGTTTTCAGAAAGATTTTTAATGACAGAATATGGAATATAATCAGGGCCTGGTGAAGTATTCTTTTTATTATTTAAGGCAGCTTCAAATTCAAACATATGAAAGGGATTTTGGATCCATTTCGCTGACTCACTTCCCTTGGATGTGAAGTACGAATCTAAATTATAGGAATTTATATCAGAAGAATTCGAAGGAGTTATATTATTTAAATAAGCCCATGCGTTGGACTGATTATCAAAATAATGTGACCTAGAAATATTTCCTAATTTAGCAAATTTAAATCTTCTAATTTGATCCCAAATTATTTTAACAGGTGTAGTTCTGTTAAAGGAATTACAAAAATTGGCCCAACTTGAAAGCTTTTGTTCAGCTAATATTCTTTTCTTTTTAGCATCGAATTGCTTATATAAAATATAATTTTCTAAAGTAGGATATTTTTTAAATGAGTTTAGAGCGAGTTTAGCTCTTTTAACTGCTAGAGAACAAATATCATTCCACCAAATAGTAGGCTTGCGTTTTCTGTTATGGCAACTGAATTTTTGTTTTTTAGGAAATGTCATTAAAATATTACATAAATTTTCAATAAATGAAGTATAGTTTGTTAAAGGATCCGATTCTAAAGTAAAACAGGAAAAAGCATCATCACATAGCTGGGAAAATTTTAACCAATCTATTTTTAGAAAGTTAACATCAGCCAAGTAAGAAGAACTATCTGAAATATTCTGAGAATTTACGTTCTTTGCAGATGATGAAAAACTGATATGGTCGTGATACAGAAAGCTAATTAAAACGGGAAAATGATTACTGCTTATCAAATCGTCGTAAACAGAGAATGTACAACTTGAACTTACCGCAGGTGATGCAAAAACCAAGTCCAAAACGTTGCCGTTCTGATTATACGATGCAAAAGTTGTGACTGTGTGATCATTTAGGCAAATAAGATTATGGTCGTCAGCAAAAGAATTAATTATATTGCCCCTTCTGTCGTTATACCTAGAGCCCCAGGATGAATGATGAGCATTGAAGTCACCAATCAATAAATTGTTTCTGTTTTTAATATATTTATATGAATTTGAAAGCATTTCTAAATCAAATTTACCCTTAGGTGGAGGAGGTACATACACACATAGTATATCAACACAAGTGTAGCCAGTCTTGACTGAAATTAATAAATTTTGAAAGTGATAATTTGATGGTGTATTAATTACTTTATGAACATGCTTGTCTTTGATAGCAACTGCTATGCCACCATGAGGATGATCAGAATCACGTCGAATAATTTTGTAACCAGGCAACTTAAATAGCTTTGAAGTATCAAGCCAAGTTTCATTTAGAAGAATTAAATCGAATTTGGAAGAATAATTATTGAGAAAATATTTAAATTGGTCTAATTTAGATAAAATGCTGCGACAATTCCAATGACAAATGTGAAATTCATTAATACCAACCTCACTGTCCATAAAATTAGGAATTAAAATTGGAAATAAGAGTTTCTTTTATGAGTTTTGATGAGATAGTGTTACCTGAATGAGCATCTTTCTTATTTACAGCAATGTCTACAAGTGTTTTTGTTAATACATTTAGCACATCATCTGAGTTAAGAATATCTGTAAATAACAATCTTTTCTGTGGTGCATTAAGTAGCTTCAAGTGATGTTTTGGTGTAGAAGTATCAGATCTTGGGATATCTGAAGTTACTGTCTGAACTTTAGAGGTGACTGTAGCATAAGTTTGTTTGCCACTAATTCGATCTTTCAGTTCTTGATTTTTGGCTGATTTAATAGGGCAAGTGTTGCTGATAGCCATGTGAGTACCATTGCAATTGATGCATTTAAGTTTGTCTTTATTGGTGCATTCTTTAAAGAAGTGATTCCCAGAACATATAGAGCATACTTGAGAGCTTCTGCAGGATCCACGGCTGTGTCCAAATTTGTAACAGACAAAACACTGGCGCACAGGTTTGATATATTCCTTTACATCAAACCACATAAAATCATAAGTCACATGATCAGGACGAGTTGAGCTCAGAAATGTAACAAGCACTGTTGGTGTAGGGGAGAATGATCCATCCTGATTCTTCCTCATGAAGCGTTTCACACCTATTACTTCATAATTCGATTTTATATTTGTTAATAAATCTTCCTCTTTAATTTCTTGTGGTACTTTTATTATTCCTAGACTTTCCAGACGATCATAGGGAATTTTTGCTTGCCAATCATGTTTTTCTAATAAAGATTTATCTAAAAGAAATGCATTTGCATCTTTTTTTGTGGAAAAATAAGCTTTGAAAAGGAAATTGCCAATGCGTTTTACA